CTTTGTCGGGTGTAATCACCGGTTGATGGCTGAGGTAGTGGATGGCATTGCCAGTCCGAGGTAGGTCAGGCGTCACTTCTTCGATCCTTTTCCGGCTTGGTCTAAGAACGTCTCATGATACTGTTCTAGAATTTCCGGACTGCTCTGGAGTTTGGCTAGAATCGTGCACAGCTTTCGGTACGCGATGGCTTTATTGTCTGGAAGCGTACTTGCTTCCTCTTTCCATGGCAATCTGACGTAATAACCGTCTTGACGGAGCTCTACTGTCTCTTCAAAGTCCCTCCAAACAGCATCTTGAACTATTTCCTGCTCATGTTCTTTTGATCCGGTGAATTCGTTTACCCCTGTGGATTCGAGGGTGAGGAATTGTTCCCATTCTTGGTATTCCTCGTTATTCGACGAAACCAGCGAATTCACAGAAGTGATTGTGTCCTTCCTGATTGGATGCCATTTGTCCTGTTATGAGGTATCCGAGCCGTGATGGGATCAATCTCAATCCAGAAGGGACACTTTGTCCGTCGGTGTAGTGGCCACCAAATTTTGCCTGACGTTGCTCTGTTGTCGTACTGTAGTTGGCAAGCGCGTTTTTGCCTTTGTTTGGGCCAGTTTCTTGGTGGCTGGTGCTTGTTGTACTCAAGGAGTGAAGCTTTTTGCATATGGATGTGTGGTGTCCGACAGTATCGCGTAAGCGGCATGCAGTCTTCGTGCATTCGCTGGAGAAATGTCCTGAACCTCCACAGTTCCATACAAAGAAAGTTCCTTCAATTGTTCAATCCTTTGCTCTTTAGTTTTGAACATGGGACAGCTTTTCGGTCCTCTCCTTTCACAGAAGAAACACCAGGAGCTATCTTTCTCATCGCGCCGATTGTCGCTGGTCTTGGTGGATAGCGAGATGCTGACTGCTCTTTCTTCGGTGTTGATTCAGGGTCATGGTTTTGGTGTTCCTACCGCTGAATCTCCAGTTCCGTTTGGATGTGCGCCTCCACTGTCTTCAGAAGCACTTTTGTGGTCCAATCATCCGATTCTCGTTTTTTCCGAAGAACTAGTCGCTGAAGTGTTTCAGTAAACTTTGAAAGCACTTGCTGTTGAAGCAGTGCTGCATCAATCCCTTCTCCTTTGAGCTGTGATTGATTGACTATTGACGAAATTTCTTCGCACAGTTTCTGTTGGTCTTCCATTTGCTTCTGGCCCTTGTTTTCTCCAAGCGCCGCACGAGTTGCGTAACGAGGAGTTCTTTGTTTACGTATTTGGACTTCAAATGTTTGACCGCCGCTTGATAGGTGTTTCCGCTTTCGAATTCCTTCAGCGAATCCAGAGCTTCTCCTTTCATCGCGTTCACGAGGTAGTTCATTTTGTAGACATCGTCCATATTCCTTGAGTGAAGTGAGTACTCGAAAGCACTCCAAAATGACTCCCACTCCCACACCTTTCCGTTGAAAGTTGGTATCGGAACGGGTGCTAGTTTGATTCTTGGTGTGTCCTGTGTTGACGTGTCTACATCCATTGCTGCCTCCAGTTCTTCCAAGTTTTCCTCTATCCGAATTCTTGAGCGAATAGCTTTTTCTAGAAGCTCCTCTGCCTTCGCTCAATTGTTCAAAACTTTCTCCATGATGCCGGTAAGATGTGACGTATCCGCAGCTAACGTGTCAGCTTCTTCATTGTATGCTTGAAGTGCCGTGTCGACATTCTTCTGTTCCATTTCGATGACTTTTCTTGCTTCCCGTAATCGCAGTTGTTCGGCTTGCGTTGCTTCCTCTCTT